TAGCAGTTTATATTTACTAAAATAATTGCATTTCTATGTTGTGTGTCCTGTGGATAGAGTGCAGATAGAGTGAATGCAGGATCCTGGGTTTAGTAACACTTTAAGAATAATAATGAAAATGAAAAAATGTCATCTGGCTGGATCACCCTCTGACTTCTCATATCTCTTGGAGGTTCTAACAGAAACATTTTCCTGAACATGAAATATACAGTGTCTACATATTTAGAAATTGAGGCTCATGTCACATGTGATCCTATCACTAGTGGCAAGTTGGCAAATTACCAGTAACATGGTCAATAAATAGGTCCCTCACCTGTTCCTATGGTGTTTCACTTCCTTGCTTGCCAAAATGTTGCCAAATCTTACTCACTATTGAGGGTATAGCTGTAGATACAGGAAATTGTTTCTTTACTCTCCTAATGATCTTGTCACTGGTGAGTTGTCACCAGAATAGCTAGTCTGACATGGGCCTGGAAGCAGACACCCAGGAGCACATGCTATTGTTCAGGTATGTAAAGCACCCTATTGTTTGTTCTTTTGATAACAGGGCTGCACTCTTTGTCTCCACTGCTGCTATTTTCTTGTATTCTTCTTCCATCAACCATCTTACAGATCATGCGCTGCCCATGTGCTGTACTGTAAATAAAATGCTAGTAAACAGTTACAGGAGTTTATCTGGCAAGAGAAACTTATGAAGTACTGAAAAAAGCTCTACCTACTTGCAATTTATATTTTTTTTTATTTTAGAATACCTAATTAATTTATTAGTCCACTTGTCAGTGAGTTCAAAAATCAAAAACTAAAGCTTTAGGTGAACTAGAGATCTAGTAACAATGACCTAATGACACTGCTGAACAAATTAATTATAATTTTCATTCTTTGATCTAGGTGGTGACTTTCAAGGCTGATGGCACAGTTCTTCTGAATGAACTGAAAGTAACACTGCCTCATGTCACAGGTAATATCACAAGACAATGTATATTGCAACAACTTTGTCTATACTGCACTGTATTATAGCAGTTGCCTTTCTTTTTCTCTTTTTTTTAACTCCTGGTAAACACCTAAATATTCACTTGAAATTGATATAATGTATATTACAGACTAAGTTTACCATTTAGAACATGTTTAGGGTGTAACATGTAACATGTTCTTGCTCTGCCCCACTGCCCCCCCCTTCAGTGTGACAGTGGGCAGGGGATCCTCTTCCTGTACCCGTTGTCAGATATTGAAAACGGAATAGCTGTGTGGGACTCTGCCCACACAGTCGGGTCCTTCATTCACAAGAATCTCTGAATGAAGAAAAAACTAGAAGTCTCGTCCGCCACAGAGGCAGACTGACTTTTAGTTTAAATGAACTGAGGGCATGCTGACCAGCACACTCATAGTACATTCAAGACAGTCCATGAAGAAGTCAGAGAACAGAGCTGTAGCAGGAGCTTAATATGGTATTGCACTCGTGATCTGAGGATTGCAGGTGAAGTAGTTTGCAGGCTCTTGTTTTTAAAAAATTATACATGAGAATTTTTTTACCTGCAAAAATACATGCAATTATTATTTTGAAAGGTGAACTTATCCTTTAACATTTTTTAATTCCCAAGGGATTTGTCTGTTCAGTTGTTTTTGTAATTTACATACTTATATTGCACTGCACAGTCAGGCAGAATCCACGCTTGTTTTTTGGTTTTAACAATACAGCTTCCTATGGCACCTTTTAATCAGGGTATAGCACAGGGGTGGGCAAACTTTTTGACTTGAGGGCCGCAATGGGTTCATATATTGGACCCGGGGGCCGGACCAAGAGTAGATGAATGATGTGTATGTGTCATCCATAGTAAGTATAGTAATATTCCCCCATAGTAAGCATAGTAATTAATCCCCCATATAGTAATTCATCCCCCATATAGTAATGCATCCCCCATATAGTAATTCATCCCCCATAGTAATTCATCCCCCATAGTAATTCATCCCCCATAGTAATTCATCCCCCATATAGTAATTCATCCCCCATAGTAATTCATCCCCCATAGTAATTCATCCCCCATATAGTAATTCATCCCCCATAGTAATTCATCCCCCATAGTAATTCATCCCCCATATAGTACGGTAATTCATCCCCCATAGTAATTCATCCCCCATATAGTAATTCATCCCCCCTATAGTAATTCATCCCCCCCTATAGTAATTCATTCCCCATATTAATTCATCCCCCATATTAAGTCCCCAAGTCCCCCCTGTGTCAATTTACTTACCTTTGCTCCGCGTGTTCCTCTCGCCGTGTTCCCGCGCCGTTCCGGTCTTCAGGGCGGACTGTGAGAGGAGCCTAGCTCCCCTCACGTTCGTCACGCTGCCCCGCCTACACACATCCTGACAGCCATCCTGACAGTATCACGCTCCGCGGGCCGGATTAAAAGGTCCGCCGGGCCGTATATGGCCCGCGGGCCGTATACGGCCCGCGGGCCGTAGTTTGCCCATTGCTGGTATAGCATCAAGTCAATTACACTCTTGGGATATTGATCTAGTCAGTTAAGTAGCAGAGGGGGTTTTTAATCAGTTTCAGCTGCTTTGGTGTTAATGAAATTAACAACAGCTGCACTAGATGGCCAACAATTAGATGACCCCCATAACAGGAATGGTTTTACAGGTGGAGGCCACTAACATTTTATTCCCTACTCATCTTTTCTGACTGTTTTTCACTAGTTTTGCATTTGGCTAGGGTCAGTGTCACTACTGGTAGCATAAGGGGATACCTGGAACCTACAGAGGTTGCATAGGCAGTCCAACTCCTCCAGAATGGCACATCAACACGTGCCATTGCCAGAAGGTTTGCTGTGTCTCCCAGCACAGTCTCATGTGCATGGAGGAGATTCCACAAGACAGGCAGTTACTCTAGGGGAGCTGGACAGGATCATAGAAAGTCTTTAACCCATCAGCTGGACCAATAACTGCTCCTTTGTGAAAGGAGGAGCAGGATGTGCACTGCCAGAGCCCTACAAAATGACCTCCAGTAGTCCACTGGTGTGAATGTCTCTGACCAAACAATCAGAAACAGACTTCATGAGTGTGGCCTGAGAGCCCGACGTCCTCTAGTTGGCTCTGTGTTCGCTGCCTGGCACCATAGCGCTTGATTGGCATTTGCCATTGAACACCAGAATGGGCAGGTCTGCCACTGGTGACCTGTGCTTTTCACAGATGAGAGCAGGTTCACCCTGAGTACACGTGACAGATGTGAAAGAGTCTGGAGAAGCCGTGGAGAACGTTATGCTGTCTGTAACATCGTTCAGCATGACCGTTTTGGTGGTGGGTCAGTGATGGTCTGGGGAGGTATATCCATGGAGGGACGCACAGACCTCTACAGGCTAGATAATGGCACCCTGACTGCCATTAGGTATCAGGATGAAATCCTTGGACCCATTGTCAGACCCTACGCTGGTGCAGTGGGTCCTGGGTTCCTCCTGATGCACAACAATGCCCGGCCTCATGTGGTGAGAGTATGCAGGCAGTTCCTGGAGGATGAAGGAATTGATACCATTGAATGGACCCCACGCTTGCCTGACCTAAATCCAATAGAACACCTTTGGGATATCATGTTTTGGTCTATCCGACGCCGCCAGGTTGCACCTCAGACTGTCTAGGAGCTCAGTGATGCCCTGGTCCAGATCTGGGAGAAAACACCCCAGGACACCATCCGTTGTCTCATTAGGAGCATGCCCCGACATTGTCAGGCATGTATTCAAGCATGTGGGGCCATACAAACTACTGAGTACCATTTTAAGTTGCTGCAATGAAATTTCAACAAAATGGACTAGCCTGCTACATCATTTTTTCACTTTGATTTTCGGGGTGTAATTGAATTCAGTCCTCTGTAGGTTGATAATTTACATCAAACGATGGGGAATCCTTACATTCCTAACACATTCCTAACACCCAGTGCATATCAGTATAGATATCCAGCGTGATATTTTTCCCCATTGAGATCTGATGTGTTTTCAAAGTGTTCCTTTAATATTTTTGAGCAGTGTACAATATTCAGCATTGTCACCTCTGTCCAATGATCAGGAAGCTAAATTACAAAGTAGTACAGCATATTTTCCAACTATCCCTCATTTAGAGAACCTGTTTCATGTTTGAAAAGTCGATATAAAGGAAAAGTAATCTGAAAAGATGCACCAGTGAGTTTACCCATTCTTTGTTTTGTGTGTTGATTCTTTATGGACCATGTAACTGAGGATGTGACAGGGGTGTGTCTGTTACCTACATACTTTGTACTAAAAGGTGTCCCCTTTCCCATATCAGAAAATTGGAAAGTATGCATATAGGCATCTTCCTGACTGTGCAGTGTGGCATATGAGAGTAAACCATAAAAGTGGCTGTACAAAATAAAAATAAAATCCTTTACCAGTAAAACAGTAAACATTAGAATTTCAAACATGTATTTAAATATATGCAAGGAATACCATTGTATTCATGATATTCAAGATTCAATATATCACAGGTATATTTATGTGACTGTTAGTTTGCACTTAAAATATACTGTATGCCAGAAAGTCCACCTAAGGAAGTACAGTCTAGCATGGTTAATTAATTATGTTTTCTTGTGTTTTCCTCTGCAGCCAGTTTCTCCATCATGCAGCCCTCTAGTCCTTACATTATTGTGCAAGCTTCCTCTGGCCTTCAGATGCAGATTCAGCTGAAACCCATGATGCAGCTATACATCGCTATGCAGAAATCTGCCAGGGGACGACTTCAAGGTCAGTTGAAGAAGACCTGTTATCTATGGACAACATTGCACAATACCTACACCTGAACATACTGCATGTTTCAATACATACATATTATATATATATATATATATATATATATATATACTATATTGCCAAAAGTATTGGGACATTCCTCCAAATCATTGGATCCAGGTGTTCCAATCACCTCCATGGCCACAGATGTATAAAATCAAGCACCTAGGCATGCAGACTGCTTCTACAAACGTTTGTGAAAGAATGGGTCGGTGAATTCAAGCGTGGTACCGTGATAGGTTGCCACCTGTGCAATAAAATCCATTTGTGAAATTTCCTTGCTACTAAATATTCCACGGTCAACTGTTAGTGGTATTATAACAAAGTGGAAGCAACTGGGAACAACAGCAACTCAGCCACTAAGTGGTAAGATGACAGAGTGGGGTCAGTGCATGCTGAAGCGTACAGTGCGCAGAAGTTGCCAACTGTTTGCAGAGTCAATAGTTAAAGACCTCCAAACTTCATTTGGCCTTCATATTAGCACAACAACAGTGCGTAGAGAGCTCCATGGAATGGGTTTTTCATGGCTGAGCAGCTGCATCCAAGCCTTACATCACCAATTGCAATGCAAAGCATCGGATGCAGTGGTGTAAAGCACACCACCACTTGACTCTAGAGCAGTGGAGACACATTCTCTGGAGTGACGAATCATGCTTCTGTCTGGCAATCCCATGAACATGTCTGGGTTTGGTGGTTGCCGGGAGAACAGTACTTGCCTGCCTGCATTGTGCCAAGTGTAAAGTTTTGTGGAGGGGAGATTATGGTGTGGGGTTGTTTTTCAGGGCTGGGGCGTGAGCATACCAAGACATTTTGGACAATTTCATGTTTCCAACTTTGTGGGAACAGTTTGGGGATGGCCCCTTTGTGTTCCAACATGACTGCACACCAGTGCACAAAGCAAGGTCCATAAAGACTTGGATGAGTGAGTTTGGGGTGAGGAAGTTGACTGGACTGCACAGAGTCCTGACCTCAACCCGATAGAACACCTTTGCGATGAATTAGAGCAGAGACTGCGAGCCAGGCCTTCTCGTCCGACATCAGTGCCTGACCTCACAAATGCGCTTCTGGAAGAACAGTCAATCATTCCCATAGACACACTCCTAAACCTTGTGGACAGCTTTCCCAGAAGAGTTGAAAGCTGCAAAGAGTGGACCAACTCAGTGTTGAACCCTATGAACTAAGACTGGGATGCCATTAAAGTTTATGTGCGTGTAAAGGCAGGTGTCTCAATACTTTTGGCAATATAGTGTATTTCAGTAATTCAGTGTCATCATAGTAACACTGTAAAAAAAAAAAAAAATATATATATATATATATACATAAATAAATATATATATATATAAAATAGTTTTTTTCATGTCTTGATATAGGCTGATATAAATGTCTTTGTCTATTTGAGTGTGAACAACCAATTTATTAGCAAAGAGCACATTCATTATTTCATGCTGCAAGCTCCTCTTGGTCTTGAATAATCAGCGGGAGAGTTTTACTAAAACTAGTGCATACATAATCTGTTAGAGTTGTGCATAGTAACCAAACAGTTTCTAACTTCAGCTTGTTTTAAAACTTTGACAATACAACCTAGAAGCTGATTGGTTACTATGCACAGCTGCACCAAATTCTGTGTGCACCAGTTTTAGTAAATCCCCCAAGTGCGTTATCTGATAAAATTGCAGTTATACAATTTTTCACTCGGAGAAGAATATTGCAGCTGACATTATAGACATCTTCTGTCCTGCTACAATAACTGTTAAAATATTTATGACATTGGCGATAATTAAAGCATAAACATTTCCCATGCACTCTTTGAATTCACAGATAATGTAGAACACAATTTTAAAGAGTTTCGAAAATCAATATTTAAGGTGCATGTAAACCCTAACTATATATTTCAGTATGTTTTGGTGTCATCAGTAGCGCATACATGACTGCAATCTGTACTCCTTAAGGCTAAAAACAGCTTTATTGTTCCAGCATGAACACTGATACTCCAACCCACTTATGATGCTCTTCACTCCCTTGTTCAGCTTAATTGCTCAGCATGTTTTCAGAAGGAGTACAGAGTGCATCCTTGTATGTGCTACTGGGTCTGGAGGGGAGAGTGACAGATTCCGGGGACACCTGCACCTGTGACTAAATGGAGAACGTGGCAGGCCTGGAACGGTATACAAACTGTAGGTGAACCTGTTATGGAATCATAGTTTATTATTCTATGTTTTCTTAAAACCCATCTCAGGTAAAAATTTAAGAGATGTATGGTGCTAATAGGGCAAGTAACCCAAGTCCATAAAAGTCCAACTTGAACAAATAGTCCTGTAATGTGATCCACAGGCTCACTTAGGGCAGCCACCCCAGAGCAGAAAACAGTCTCTGTAATGAAACAAAAAGGGAGAAAGGTGGTGCCCACTAAGTGTAGCTTTAAAATCATCCACTTTATTAAAATACAACTGGCATCTCACTGGATATAGCATTACGTGCAGAATTATCTCTGTTAACCCAGTAAGTTGCCAATTCTATTCTAACCACTTCCCGTCCAGCCCATGTACATAAACAGACGGACGGCAGCAGTGCAGGAGCGGGTGGCCGTTTATAAACGTCCTCCCGCATGCCCTGCCTGTGCATGCTCCCTTCCCATCCAGGCCAATTTTCTGTCATTTTTTTAACATACTGTCACTGAGGGTGACAGTATGTTAAAAGAACATAAATAATAATATAAAAAAATAAAATATTAATGTAAAAATTTTTGTTGAAAAATTATAATTTTTGGTTATAAACTAATTTGGGTTATTTTTTTTTTATTAAAATGATAGCTGAATACATTTTGGCCAAGATGTGTGAAGAAAGATTATTTATTTGCAAACTTTTATAAGAAAACCCCTTTCCATTTATATAGCAACAAAATTAAAATCCTAGTGGTGAATAAATACCACACCAAAATAAAGTTTTATATGTCTAAAAAAATGCTTAAAAATTCATATGGGTACAGTGTTGCATGACTGCGCAATTGTCATTCAAAGTGTGATAGCACTGAAAGCTGAAAATTGTCCTGGACGGGAAGGGGGTGAAAGTGTCCGGACTTGAAATAGTTAAATAAAGTGCATGACTTTAATGCTACACTTAGTGGGCATGCCCTTTCTCCCTTCTGGTTAAATTTTGCTCAGGGTTACAGAACAGTGTGATAGCACTGAAAGCTGAAAATTGGCATGGATGGGAAGGGGGTGAAAGTGTCCACTGACTTACACTTAGCAGCAGCCCTGTCACCCCGGTTTAAGGACTCCTTCAGTTTTGCTGTCTATCAGGTCTATCAGATAGGTAGTCCAATGAACAACTGAAGCAGCTCACATGGCAACATTGATGCAAATGTAATGCCTTAGAGTTGTCAGCCTATAACAGGAAGATATGGTACTGGCAGGGTCTCGAGGTAAGAAACTTTGCTACAGATTAATAAAAAAAATGTATTTGCTTAGGAGACCTATACAGTGACACATGCTGCTAAACATACTGAAATTTTTTTTATGTTTACATACATATTAATATATGTACATTTAGCATCAATTTCAGGACTGTTCCCTTATGCTACAAAATTCATATGTGTTTACACAGGATTGCTGCAAAGATCTGTGACTGGACTAAGAGGATTTCCAAAGCAAGTTTAGGGTTTTATCAATGGGACTGTTAAATGCATGAACTTTTGCATAGCAGTTAATATTTGTGCAATGACCGTAGAAGAGTTATTTATTGAAAAGTTGTGATACCAAGAAACACAGTAAAGAACTAATACATGTTTTGCAGGTCTTTGTGGAAACTTTAATTCTAAGGAGGGAGATGATTTTAAAACATCGGGTGGTCTAGTAGAAGCCACAGCATCTGCCTTTGCCAACACATGGAAAGCCCAACCCAACTGCCATGATGTGTCAGACCTGCTGGATGATCCCTGCAGCCTCAGCATTGAGAGCAGTAAGACATTATTTTCATTTTATTACTATCCAACATCCATTATCCAGTGCAGGATATGGTTTTAAATCAACAGAAGTCCAACTAATGCTCAGAAATTCCCATTTAGTGATCACAATTTCAGCATTGCCCTATGCTGAAATTGTTTTTTTGATCACAGGGTTCTCCTGGTTGAAATTCTAAGGTCCCACATTTACCTTTTCGTGCATCCAGCAATCTCTACATGTAATAATAATGAATTAAAAGCAGTTACTCCATTTGTCAAGGTTGAAGAAGAATTAGTTAGAATACCTAGCAGTCTATGCTGTGTATTTTAAAAAATACCTCAATGAAACATAAATAGTACTGTAAATAAAATGACAACACAAAATGTAGTATACGGCAAAAAGGAGTACGCTCTTTTTATTTATAATCGTATTGTCGGCCACTCACTACCCTGATACCACCAATCACCAGGCTGTTTTTCATAATTCTAATATGTTAAATGCATATATATTATTACAAAAAGATTGTTGTTGAAATAAATAGTCTGGTGTCAAAGTCTCTTTAAGACAGAGAGAAGCTAATGTGACAAACACTCTTGTGTTTCAGTTCCTTAGTGTAGAAAACCAGTTCTGGCCATCAGGCGCCCTGATAAACCCAAATAGGTAAACATGTCTCCTCGTGGATCAACTAATACAGCATAGTTTACCACTCTGAAAATGAAATTCTTCAACCATTTATATTAAAATGGAAATATATTTCATACAAGGGGGTGTCTCTTACAATCATATACAGGTCTGTGTATGGAGCCTCCAGCAGGCCTCTGTTCTATGTGTTTGTAAGTGACATCACTCAATGACTTCCATTCCAAAGAAAGAATCAACAGATACACACTAATGATTTATGTAGCACTTAGGCTTTAGTCCAGAAAAAGACCTTGGCCTTAATCTCTACCTAGAGCAGGGGTGTATTTACCACAAGGCAAACAAGGCATTTGCCTAGGGCGGCATTTTTAGGGAGGCAGCACTGCCCCCTGGAAGAAGGGACATATGCTGCATGGGGACCAGGTGGGATCTGAGAGAGGCTGTGGGCTGCTTGATGGTGTATGTAGAGAACAACTGTTGTTCCCAGGGATGTCCAGAGCTGCGAAGATGAGTGTCTTTCTCTCTGTCGCCATTGGGGGGGGGGGTTTTAGCGGAAGGCTATCTTGGGTGGGTGGGGGGCGGGGGATGGGGCAGGGGTATTGCCGGTCACTGTCAGGCGCTGTCCACGGGGGGGGGGGGGGGGGGGAATCTGGCATTGGTCAGTTTCAGGCTCTCTCTCTGCTGTGGAGGGGGGGAGGGGTGTCCGATTTTTGTGTTACATAGGTAAGCACAAAACACCACTGACCCAGAGACCACCCACTCTAACATTTTCACACTCAAAGCTTAGTGGTAGTCTCCATGACTAAGCCTTGAGTGGTGAAATGCATCAGAGTGGGTGGTCTCTGGGTAGGGACAAAGGCCAAGGTCTTTTGCTGGAATAAAGCCTTAATACTGGATACATCCATTCAATCAGCATCCGAGTTCCAGGAGACAGTGGGAGTGTGGCGTCTGAAGCAGAGCAATTCTGCCTGCTACTTGAAAGTCAGGAAATTATATCTGGTCATTTCAACCAGTAAAGTTTTTCCTTTATTTTGTTAATTTTTACATGTTGCTCCCATGCGTACATTAATCTCAGCACACCATTCTTTCTAGAAACCTATGCAGACTATTGGTGCTCTGTGCTAGAAAAAGATGAGTCTCCATTTGCTAAATGCCATTCAGCAGTAGACCCAACTGGGTATGCAAAGGTGAGTTCTGTACTGTGTGTGGTCAGATGTCTTATGTTCACTTTGCAAGGGAAGTTGCATTTTACAAGAAAATTGCCCCAGAGCTTTTTAACCACCTTCCGCCCCCCCTATAGTACAATGACGAGCTCAAGGTGGTTCTCTCGTTCTGATAGGACGTCATATGATGTCCTACCATTCTCATGGCGCATGCGTGGCTCAGGGAGCGCGCAGCACGGCGATCGCTGATGCGCTGTGTCCCTCGGACACAGCGGATCACGGAAAGAGCCGAAGATGTTGGCTCGGTCATGTGATCAGCTGTGTCCAATCACAGCTGATCACATGTAAACACGGAAATGCCGGTTATTGGCATTTCTCTCCTCTCAAGCTGTCACGCTGACAGCTCGAGAGGAGAGGAGAGCCGGTAATCACTGATGATCAGTGCGCCCTGATAATCAGTGTGGCCCCAGAAGTGCCACCTGTCAGTGCCCATCAGTGCCACGTGCCGGTGCCCATCAGTGCCACGTGCCAGTGCCCATCAGTGCCACATCAATGCCACATATCAGTGCATACCAGTGCACATCAATGCCACATATCAGTGCCCATCTGAGCTGCCTTTCAATGTCACCCATCAGTGCCAGTCAGTGCCACCTATCAATGCCAATCAGTGCCACCCATCAGTGCCAGTCAGTGCCGCCTATCAGTGTCGCCTATCAGTGCCAGTCAGTGCTGCCTATAAGTGCCAGTCAGTGCCACCTATCAGTGCCAGTCAGTGCCGCCTATCAGTGCCAGTCAGTGCCGCCTATCAGTGCCAGTCAGTGCTGCCTATCAGTGCCATATATCAGTGTCATGTAACAGTGTCATGTATCAGTGCTGCCTTTCAGTGCCCATCAGTGATGCCTGTCAATGCCCATCAGTGCAACCTACCAGTGCCTCCTCCTCAGTGCCGCCTATCAGTGTCCATCAGTGCAGCCTATCAGTGCCCATCACTGCAGCCTCATTAGAAGGAGAAAAATCACTTATTTACAAAATTGTATAACAAAAACTATGAAAAATGTTTTTTTTTTTCAAAATTTTCAGTGGTTTTTGGTTTGTTTAAGAAAAAATAAAAATCCCAGAGGTGATTAAAAACCACCAAAAGAAAGCTCTATCTGTCTCAAAAAATTGGTAAAAATTTCATATGGGTACAGTGTTGCATAACTGTGCAATTGTCATTCAAAGTGTGACAGCGCTGAAAGCTGAAAATTGGCCTGGGCAGGAAGGGGGTATAAGTGCCCTGTAGGCAAGTGGTTTAAAAGAGGTTACACTTTGCTGACTTCCATTATCCAATTGTGTGCAAACAAAAATATGCTTGGCAAGTGACTACCACCTCACCAGATTCACTAATCTCTGGTGCAAATTCCCTTGCAATGTGCATCCTCCCTTGGAAAAGTGAACAGCTTATTTGCCTTTTATAAATCAAACCCATTCTGCCTTAGGAAGCACTAAAATGTGACACTTATTTAATGTCAGGTACATATAGAACTTTGCATAAGTGATACACAGAATTAAAGATCTCAAATTATAACAAATGTAAAATTCAGTGATGGGGGGAGCCAGGGTACCTTCCACCTTATATTATGGAGGTGGGAACAGGGATTGGTAGTCTCTAGTCTGAACACACTTCTTGTCCTAGGGTGACAAGGATAGGAAGTGACAATGCTGCTCCTCCATAGGCAAAGTACAATAACTAAAGCCTGGTACACTTTATAATATTTTTTTTTTCGTTCAACCCAGCATGCTGAATGAAAAAACCTGAAAGATCACTGTACTAACACAAGCGATGTTAGTTCGGCGATCTCCTTCACTGTGCTATTGTGCCCTGACACGGGGACTGTCCCCCTGCCAGAGCACACTGGTCAGTGCTCGCAGCCATAGGCTGCAAGAGCTTATCAGATGTCGACTGCCTGCTGGTTTTCAAGCTTGCTCATTCAACAGAAGCCGGTCATGAGATCCGCATCTGTTGGACAGGCAGCTGTACACATGGGCCAGAAATTGGCTGGTTTCTACCGTAAAGGCTGATTTCGGCTGATATTTGGCCCATTTGTAACAAGGCAGAAGCCTTTTCTCTCAAGGATGAGAATAAAAGGAATAAAGTCTGAAAAAAGATAAGTATTGCAGTTAAAGTATAACTAAAGGCAAAACTTTTTTTTAGTTTTGGATAGAGTGAAGATGGAGTAGATTACCTTTCACCTTTGATTGCTGTCTGTGCCCCCGGTAGGGAGAGTCAACCCATCTATTTGTTATGAGAAAGTAGAAGAAAATCCCATATTTTGGGTTGACACCAGAACAGGAATCTATTCCAATGGGGGCATTCATTTTGGTGCCCCTGGTGATACTCCAGAATTCCCTCTCTTTGGAGAGATTTCCTTTCATTTCCTGTTTTGGCTATGGGACAGTGAAGGCAAATCTCCCCTATGGAACACAGATGGCAAAAAAACAAAAACTGACAGGGGTTATAACTCTACCTTACTTTATCCAACATAGAAAAAAATGTTTTGCCTTTAGGTTCACTTTAGCGATCAGTAAGCTGCAATACGCTATGTTTTTGTTTTGGGGTTGTAGATACAGTTAAATAAAAAATAAATACGTATATATTTATGTATATATACTGTTAATATTATTATTATACAGGATTTATATAGCGCCAACAGTTTGCGCAACGCTTTACAATATAAGGGAGACAATACAATTACAATACTTTCAGTACAGAAGGAATAGGAGGACCCTGCTCGTGGAGCTTACAATCTAAAGGAAGGGGAGGATGATACAAAAGGTGATAGCTGCGGGGGATGATCTGGCGGAGGTGATTCAAGTACAGTTCTTAGGCTGGCCATACATTATACAATTATCTGCAGATTTTCTGCCCAATTTCCTTTAGATTTACCTTCAACTATGTAGTGCAAGGGCCTGCCTAATTGGATACAACTGAAAGTGTTGTTTAGGTTTGTCCTATTATATGGTTTTTGGTAAATCTAAACCAAAAATCTGCAGATAATTGTATAATGTATGGCCAGCCTTAGGTGGAGGTGGAGGTGGGGTAGGCTTCCCTGAAGAAGTGCGTTTTCAAAGATTGCCTAAAGGCAGACAGGGTGGGGCTGACTGGACATGCTGTGGTAGGGAGTTCCAGAGGATGGTAGAGGCTCTGGAGAAGTCCTGGAGGCGAGTGTGGGAGGAGATGATGAGGGAGCTAGAGAGGAGGATATCGTGGGAGGAGCGGAGTGGGTGATTAGGGCTGTATCTGTCGATGAGGTTGGCGATGTAGCTAGGGGCAGTGTTGTGGATGGCTTTGTAAGCTGTGGTTAGTATTTTGAATTTTATACGTTGGGTTAGTGGAAGCCAGTGGAGGGATTGGCAGAGAGGGGCAGCAGTCATTGATCGGTTGCTAAGGTGTGTGAGTCTAGCAGCAGCATTCATAATAGACTGAAGGGGGGATAGCCTGTGTAACGGTAGACCAGTGAGGAGGGAGCTGCAGTAATCGAGGCGGGATATAACCAAGGCGTGGATAAGTTGTTTTGTGGTGTCATTGGTCAGGAAGGGGCGGATTTTGGAAATGTTCTGGAGGTTGAGGCGGCAGGATTTAGCCAGTGAGTGGATGTGGGGCCCAAAGGAGAGGTCAGAGTCTAGGATTACGCCTAGCACACTGGCATGAGGGGAAGGACCAATGGTTGTGCTGTTGATCTTAATGGTAAAGTCATGAGTGGGGGATCAGGGAGGAGGAAATATTACAAGCTCAGTTTTTGAAAGATTGAGTTTAAGGTAGCAATGTGACATCCATGCTGATATGTCGCTTAGTAGATTTGTGATACGTGAGGAGATTGAGGGGGTGAACTGGGGAGTGGAAAGATAGATTTGGGTGTCATCAGCATAGAGGTGGTATTGGAAGCCATGGGAGGTTATCAGTTGGCCCAGGGAGGAGGTATAGAGAGAGAAAATGAGGGGCCCAAGAACAGAACCTTGGGGTACCCCAACAGAAAGAGGAAGCGGAGTGGAGGAGGAGGAGTTGTATGTGACACTGAAAGTGCGCTGAGAAAGGTAAGAGGAGAACCATGAGAGAGCAGAGTCACGGAGGCCGATGGAGTGGAGTTTACTGAGGAGGAGTGGGTGGTCAACTGTGTCAAAGGCAGCATGTGTGTGTGTGCTTGTGTATATCACCTAGTAATAGCTTTGGAAGTATTCATGCTTTATTGTCTTACAACACTGAATATGCTCTTATGACAAGGTGAAAAGATCTCAAAATTAAAATATATATATATATATATATATATATATATATATAGATATGTCATGGACTGATTAAGTCAAGCTCACAAAGCCAGAGTATACTTGGAATAAGGGTATTCCAATAGGTGGCATCACTCGTACTTGTTTCATGTACGAGTGATGCCACCTATTGGAATATCTCTATTTTGGAATAAATTGGCATTATTTTTTTCTGAGAGCGTTAGAAACTCATGCTTGCAATTTACATAAACTGTGTTTTCATTTTGCACAGAGATGTCGTTATGATACTTGTAACTGTAAAGACAGCGAGCAGTGTATGTGTGCTGCACTCTCCTCCTATGTCAGGGCCTGTGCTGCTAAAGGGATCATTTTGTGGGGCTGGAGGAATGGAATTTGTGGTAAGTATTGATTTGCTATCAAATAATATTACTTTAATAGACTAACTGTGACAAAAAGTTAACACTTTTGTATATCTTATATTGTATATCTTACTAGTTAATAACTATTCATAAAGATTTGGCATTACCTCTACCTTTTAACTTTTGGTATCCTAGTAAGTTTCTGATTTCCAACAATGTGGTTGATTTACTAAAACTGATAGTGCAAAATATGGTACAGCTGTGCATAGGAGCTAATCAGCTTCTAATTTCAGCTTGTTCAATTAAGTTTTGACAAAATCTGGAAGCTGATTGGTTTATATGCAGAGCTACACCAGATTTTGCACTCTCCAGTTTTAGTAAGTCAACCCCATTGTGTTATAGGTCACACTGCTTAGATGAGATGCAAAAACAAATTACATTTTGTAACAATCTTCATTACTCTACAAGTAAAAAATAATCCAGTTTATAACTAAGAATGAGGTTAGGGTTTGCCACTACCATGGGTTTGGTAAGAATCCAAGGGATTCACAAAGTTTGCAACTTGCAAATTTTTGGCTTAAAATGTTGCAAGTTCCCTACCAGAAATAAGGAACAACCTCTAATATGGTGCATAGCTTTTGCCCCTGATCAGCTGAATCACAAAAGCTGATAATCTGAAATAATGGATATCCCTGCACTCTCTCTATAAAAAGGTGGGTTCAGAAGCAGCCATATTGTCAGTGTGTGTGTAGGAGATTTTAGGGAGAGCTGACAATTCTGTGTAATTCTTTTAAATGTTGGCATTGGCACATAACACGATTCTCCCTCTCACAGAGTTCAGTAGGTTGTGCAGCAAAGTTAGTGAACTTTCAGCAACATTAGCAAAACTGAACCCCTATTTAGAACTAGTTTTCCACAATACATGTTAAATGCAGTTAATATAAATAGTATAGTATATGAATGTGTAAAGTAATGTATTACTTATAGATTGTAAGCTCCCAGGATCAGGGCCCTCCTAACCCTCTTGTATTGAACTGTATTGTTGCTGTATTGTCTCCCTTTATATTGTAAAGCGCTGAGCAAACTGTTGGTGCTATATAAATCCTGTATAATAATAACAATAATAATTGTAATGTATTC